CATCAGATTGAACTTTGCAAATGATCCTTTTTAAAAATTTCCTTTTAAATGAAACTTCTAAGGTAAGCTAATGGATGTATTTGAATTTTAATAATAAATTGTATTATTGGAGATATATAATGATTAAATATAAAAAATTTTATCTTGCATTTTTATTGCAATTTTTATTCGTTTTGTTTTAAGTCGATAATAAGCGATTGATTTTGGTATTCGAAGGAAATTTTTGATTATATGTAATAAAAAAATTTTTAATATATTTAAAAATTTTGATATATATATATATTATATACATATACATATGTATATATATATATGTATATAAATTCAAATAAAGTTAATTTATATATTATTATAGTATCATAATATTTTTTTATAAAAAGTTATTTATAATACTTGATATATATATATATATATATCTATATATCAACATATAAACATACCTATATATAATATTCTATACTCTTAATACTCTTAAAGTATGGAGAAAAAGAATATATGCATATGTATATAATGAAAATATATGTATATATTAGAATATTAAAATGTTGCTTTAATATTTACATATATAGTATCATAATATTTATTTAAATTTATATATATATATATATATATATATATATACATAAAGTTTAATGAATTATATTCGAGATTGTTATTAAGTGTAGATGAATGTATAATAAGAACGTGTAATAAATTGGAATTAGTTCATTTGAATTTTCAATCATATTTTATATAATCTTTTATATTGAAGGGTGAACTTAAAATTAATAAATTATATAGAAGAGAAAAATAAAGAGGGAGAGGGAGGGAGAGAGAGAGAGAGAGAGAGAGAGAGAGAGAGAGAGAGAGAGAGAGAGAGAGAGAGAAAGAGAAAATAATAGCAATGTTTAATGTTAATTTGGTTTAAAGGGAAATGCAGAAACGTAAATGTGTCATGTTGATACATCTACATATTCAAATATCTCGATTGCAATGGAAAAACAGAAAGAATACTGCTGGCGATGAAACGACGCATACATGCATGCAATACATTGCGCGTTATCAGACGATTAAAAGGATTTTTAATCATCCACCAAAAAATGCGCTTTCACGCTCTTCAATCCCGTCGCTCGCGTTTCTTTCTTTCCTCCATTTTTTTTCCCCCTTTTTAACCCTTTTTTATTATTATTTTTTGTTTGCTGTTTTCATTTTTATCGCGTTTTTTTCTCTCCATTATTTTTTCGCTTATAGACAAAAAGAAAAAGAAAAAAGTCTCTTTCGTGACGTATCTTTCCGTACGTATTTTTGTTATCTCTCTAAAAGCAAAACTAAACGACTAAACTTTTAATATAATATTTAATATTAGAGACTTTCTACGACATTTGTTCTAATTTTATTTTAAATATTTTTCTTGTTTTTAATTTTTTTTATTACCTCTTTCTTTTTCTTTTTTTAATTCTGTCATGATTCTTTATATTACATAAAGTAAAATTATTGTCGATCAAATAAATATACTCATATTGAATTTATCCCAATTTTATCTAATACAAATTCTTAGGATTTTTCTTTCTTTATTTTCTCTTCTACTTTTATTTAATCCAACGTAAAATTAATTTCAGACGATAAAAACGATATCGAAAATTTCTGTAAAATCTTTATCGAAGTCCGTATTAATCCCATTCTAATTAAAAATATTTCTAAATTTTCCTTATCCTCATATCCTATTTTTTTTTTTTTTTTTTTTTTTTTTTTTTAATACAAAAAAATAAAATGATAATCAACGAGCCGAAAAAAGAAACTTTCGAACGAAATTTCCACACGAGATTCATTCTAATAAAATTAAATTTAGTTTATTAAAAATTAAACAAAAAATTTAAATCACAATTAAAGAAAATAATCAAATAATCGACCAACGTAAATTGTCATCATTGGAAAGACTTAATCGATTAATTTTCTTGCTCTCATCTTCTCAAGATGATAGAAAAAAAAAATAAAGAGAGAGAGAGAGAGAGAGAGCGAGAGAAGGAGAAAGAGAAAGAGAAAGAAAGAGAGAAAGAAAGGAATAGAGAATGCTCAACGTTCCGGAAACACTCGAAACTCGGCTTTGCCTTCAGTATCGCCCGAAGCGATTAGGGGAACGAGAATGTTTAAAACGTTTCAGCTTTTACTCCCGCAGGAGAGTTCTAAGTTACGATATTGTTACCCTTCACTTCGTCGACTCGATTACCGACGTGCCTGAGAACTATAATAACTTGTACGTTTACGACCACCATTTTGTCCTTAAACAATTTTTTTTCTATTTTCTTTCTTTTTTTCCCGCTTTCTCTCTCTCTCTCTCTCTTTCTCTCTTTCTCTCTTTCTCTCTCTTATTTTTTATTCTTTTACGCTTTTATTAGAAGCCCTATAAATAGTTACGTGGAAGAAATGAAAATTACAATTTAGAAGTATTTGTGACCGCCATTTTGTTTCGAAACAATTTCCTTTCCTTTTTCTTTTCGTTTTCTTTCGTTTCCTTTCTTTCCTTTTTCTGTTTTTATTTCTTCGTCTTTTCACAATCTCATTAGAAATTACGCATGAGAAATTTTAGTTTTATATAGAAACGAAAAGTAAAAGTTATACGGACGTTCAACGACGACTACCATTTTGTTTCTAATCAATTTCCTTTTTTCGTTTTTTTTCTCTCTTATGTCATTTATTTTTTATTTTTAATTTTTTTTTTTACTTTTCTTACAAACATCACAAATAATTATAATTGTCGAAAGAAACGAGAAATAAAGTTTCGTCGTTTTATTTCTAAACAATTATATCCTTTTTGAATTTTTACAATTTGACGATTTTATTAAAAGTGTCGCACAGAGAGATACGAAAAATCAACGTTCGTGGATCATCATATTTTTTTTTTCCCCTACGATTTTATTAAAATTTATATTCGAGAGATTCCTATTTTTCATAGAATCGAAAGATAAAGTTTGAAACTGTGTTTGGATCATTCAACGATAGCCACTTTTCCAAATGACTTGTCACTCTAACGAAAGAGATTGAGAGAATGAGAGAAAGAGGAAGAGAGATATAGATAGAGATAGATGGATAGATAGATAGATAGAAAGAGAGATAGAGAGAGATAGAGATAGATAGATAGATAGATAGAAGCGTCGGCAAACGTTCGAAAGCGTTTCTATCATTTCCGTTCTTCTAACTGGCCGATTAATTGATCGCCGTCCGATTCACGCGTCAGTGTCACATCCATTTAACCCCGATGATTACGATTACGAGTATGACGGTCCTGCAGAATTTAAATATACGAGCTCGTGTTTGCTTACTATCCTAATTATCCATAAAAGTGAGAAAAAAAGGGGAAAAAAAAAAAGAGAAAAAGTAACATCCCTTTAATTAAATATTAATAAAGCTAGTAAAGTTTATTCTTCCTTTTATTAAAAATATAGGGAGAGACCAGAAAACAATACAAAAAAATAAATAAATAAAAAAAGGTTCCTAGGCTTCTTTCGAAAATTCTATTGACTCCCTTCTCGAGTTACTACTGCGTGCTTGTGACTTTATTATTTGACAATAAAAAAAAGAAAAAGAAAAAAAAAGTAAAAACAAAAAATAAATAAACGATAAAAAAATAACAAATAAATAAAAAATAAAGAAAGAAAAATGATTTTTAAAATCGTCTAAGAATTTTTGACACACCTATAGAGACATTTGGTTCGATTAGCGATCAGTGACTCTTAATTTTCACGAGAAAATATATCTTTCGAAAAGATGAAGAAAAATGAGATTATAATTCAGGGTGGGGGGAAGGGGGGTTAGAAAGAAAAAAAAATTACAATTCATAGGGGAAGGGAGGAGGCAGAAAGAAAATTATAATTTTTCTGAAAAGATAAAGAGGTAAACTAGAAAAAATAAAAAAGTAAAAGAAAAGGTGAGAAAAATATAGTAACAAGGGATACACGCGCGTACGCTAAGAGACATGCGCGCGCAGTGATATGAGCACACATAAAAATTGATATTTTCTTATTTTCCCTTTTGCTATTTTCTCTGTGCAGCCCTCCCGCCCCCCCACTCTATAATATAACTTGTCCAAGCTTTTATATCCCGAAACGCACCCAGGACTATAATTGGACAAACATCAAGGATGTTTGTGTAACCAGGCACACGTGGACATAAATCGGTGTTTGCTCACGACAAACTTGTATTTCGATGCTCTTCCTCTCACTTTTTTTTTCGAAGGTCGTTAAACGAATAAGGGGGGAGAGGAAGGATAAGGGAAGATTTTGACGAGATGTATCCTTCCATTGTTTTTTATCACCACTTTTTTCTTCTTCTTTTTCTGACTTTTTTTGCCTTTATTTTTCTCCCTATTCTTCTCCCTCATTATTACTTACAGGAAGCATTTTCTTCGATCATCGAACGATCATAATTATACATTATCGAAATAATATACTCTTTGAAACATGAAACAATTTTTCGATTTCGTGAGAGGAAAAAAAAAAGAAAATATTATTAAAATGTAAAAATTCAACTTGCAAATTTTCGTTTTTATTTTAATAATAATAATTAAATTACATAAAATTTAATATATATATATATATATATATATATATATATATATATATGTACATATATAATATTAATACATAAATTATATACAATTTAATAATAATAATAATTAAATGTTTTCATTTTCTTTTTTTTTTCCAAACTATTTTAAGTAAAAAATTATTTACAAATAAAATTAAAATCAAATTGATCAAATTTTCATTAGTTTGAAAATAAAATCTATCCAACATTTTATCTCTCTTTCTCTCTCTCTCTCTCTCTCTCTATCTCTCTCTCTCTTTCTGTCATATTGATTTCATTTTCATTAATTATTCTTCTTCTTATTATTATTATTATTTATTTATTTTTTTTTTTTTATATTGATTCAATAGGATACTCAAATAAAATATTTTGAAATTATATGAAAAACTCTGATATAAACATTCGAATAAAATAGTGAAATAAAAATAATGACTCACCGTTTCCCGTTACCATCATTAATCCGGTACCCAGTTGTCGCAATTTGCTGAATGTTGTTCCACTCTCTTCCGGTGTAACAGCACCGGTCGTACCAGATTCCGATTGCGTCGTCACCAT